CCACGCAGCGCGTACACCGGGGGGGGCGGCTTGTTTTACAACGTCGTTGCCAAGCGACGAAAACCCAACCCCGATGGTAAACACCGGGGGGGGGAAGTAGACAGGGGGGCTCCGTATTCTAATGCTTAACCCCGCACCCACTGCATCAAACCAAGCTCGATTCCTCGCCAAGTCTACTGGTTTGGGCACGTAGAGTGTACGTTGAAACTAGGAATTTATTGGTTGTTCCCAAAATTGAAATATACAACATCCGGACGCGGGCGGCTAGCGCAACCACAGGGCTATTGGTCTAACCAAACCATACAAGCTCGGAATATCGCTGCTTTTCTCTTGCAACGTATGATTCTTGAATAAGTTGAGTGTTCAGTGCGGGTGAAAAAACAAAAAGGCTGTATGGCCGGAAGCCCGTTGCATGTTTCACGCCGATCCGTACACCGCCGTTTTGGGAAGAGAGCTGAGACGAGTTGATGTTGGTTGTGCGTGGCTGTAACACTACTTGTGCAAAAAAGCATGTACGGCGAGGGTTAAGTGTTCTTCGCGTTCGGTACCACATTCGACGCAGCTTGTCAAGTCGCACAAGAAACATTCTGTGCGTCTGTTGTGGCATTTCCATCCACATTGCTGATGGCTTCATGACCCACAGGCCGGTAGTCCCAAAATACGTGGTTTCGTGCGTCATTAGCCTGGATACTCACCAATTGGTGTCAGGGATGACCTGTTCGACCGAAGCCTCAAGCGTTTGAAAGCCATCCATCCAACGGACGAGTTTATGCCTTCCTATTCTTCGCATGGTCATCAACTTGGTCTTAGGGAGGACATGTTCGACCGATACTCACCTGGGTGAAGCGCTGGAAGGCCATCGATCCGACGAATCCTCCGGGCTCCAGGTGCGACACCGTCTCTCCCTCCGACTTCACCTGATGGTGTGTTGGCAGGCCCGCCGGGGCAGCAGCAAGAAAAACACCATCACCATCATTGCGGAACAAAAGGTGGCCACAAGGGCTTCAAAAGAAGTAACGTGGCTACAGAGCCCCCCGGTGGCTTCAAAGGCTTGCAAGAAATGTGAGAGCGAGAAGATTGACAACGCAAAGAGAGTAAGGATGTTACTAAGGAAGACGACGGGTTGTGGGCAAGCAACCCTAATCCGGGCTCTGACCCCCAACTAGTTCATACTTTCTCCACTATGTTTGCGTAGAGACAAGTAAGTATCCGGGCAGACTACTGGAGCGAGAGGGGGGCATGCAGCATGAAGGAGGGTGTGTGTGTGTGTACTACACGCACCTCGGCGGTTCCCTCGACGATGAGGAACATGTCCTCGTGGGGCCTGCCCGCCTGGCAGATGTCGTTTCCCTTCATCCAAACGCGGCGGTCGGCAAGGTCCATGAGCCGCAGGAACTCCACCGGGTTGAGGTCGAAGGGCATGAAGAGCTCTTCGAAGATCCTCGCCTGTTGTGGGTTGTGTCGACAAAAAAAAAAAAAAGCCAGACAAAATAGGATAAACAGATGTCCAGGGTCGTCTCCACGAAACTAAAACCTCGGAAGGTAATCAAAATAAGCTTGTTAGAAACAGGAAAGAACAGGTTGTCAGGGTTGTGTCGACAACGACAAATCGGACAGCGAAGAGAAACACAAAACAAAACAGGCCTCACAAATGTTGTGGGTTATGCCGACAAAAAGCATGGGCGAGCACAACAATAAAAACAAGGGCTTCAGGGGAAGCAGGAACAACACTCGTGAGTAAGGGCGACAAGTGTGGTGGAAAGATGCACAAAATAACTGTTCGAAGACCTGCGAACGTGTCACAGAAAAGGCGGACAGAACTTTGGGCGAAGGCTGAAGCGAATAAACGGGCTCGGGTTTTGGGCGGCTTTTGATGTAGAGCGTCTTGGGATTTATGCTTGCTCCATGTGTCGTATGCCGAAGTCAGACGCTGGACAGCGATCGGGTTCTCGGAAGCATTGTCCAAGCTAGTCTCGACCAGTCAACGGTGACTGGTGTGTGTGTGTGTTTTCGTCCTATTTATTATGGCGACAGTCCCCCCATTTTTCGTGGTGAGACGTGTACTACAATTTTCAGCGTATGTAGAGTACTACACTTTTCAGTGTGTTTTTTCGTAGAACTACAGCCATCCAGGGTCACACAGGAGGGGGTTAACACCAGGGCTTCTTTTTTCTTTTTATTTCTTTCATGCCCCACCTTCCTCCTGCGGTGCGGCTGAATTTCAATTTTATCGCGAGAAGGGTCCAGCCACCCCTTTCCCTCGTCAACGGTGCCAACGTCAAAGCTTGTTACTCACGAGAGCTTCTTAGCTATGTTTCGCTTTCACTCGCATATTTCGTAATTTTTTTCACCCAATGGGGATTCGCACTCACGACCTCTGCGACTGGCGGAGTACGAGGATACCACTAGACCACCGGGGCGACCGGTTACTGGTGTATTGGGCCGACTGGCCCAGTGGCAGCATTAAAGTTGCTGTCGCACACAGCCAGGATTAGTAGGTCGAAGTGCCGAGGGCTTCGGAGACCTACTGACGGGACCACGTTCACGTTGTATTTTTTAGAACAAAGAAGGGCTCACAAGAAAAAACATTGTCCTTTTGTCTTGGAGTGCATACGTCACGTGAATATGCATCCAGCAGTACGACTCATGCTGGTAACACACGTCACAGCACATACCAGACTCAGATGGGTAAGAAAAAATGGCGAAAGAAATCGAGCTCAGTCCCCGGCACTAGACCCTACTTCCAGGCGAGAAGCCTGTGCTCAATCGTCGAGACACAGCAGCTCATTGAATGACGCGTGGTTCAAAAGAGTGGGCGAGCACTTCTGGTGTATTTCAGGGATCGCTTAACACCAACCTTCTCAGGGTCGTTTTTGAGTTCCTCCGCTTCCGCCCGCTCGTTCCAAAGGATAGCCAGCAGGAACGAGTTGAGGATGAGGGTCAGCGTCAGCCACTTGATGGAGATGATGAGCGGAGGGTGGCGGTAGTAGCTGAAAAACAGACCTAAAGTAGCCCCTGTAAACACCATCACACTGTTCGTGTTGTTTCGTGTTGTGAGAAAACAATCACGACGCCAGCGTTGGGTGGGTGCAAGTGAGTCGGCGCAGCGGCAGAGCGGGCGGAAGCGAAAGGGCATTTGCAATTGTTAGTGGTGTGGGCAGAAAAATTGGCGCTGCGTGCCACACAAGGGTTCCTACTTCTATTGCCAACTTCACGCTTGTGGTATTGCCAGAAGCATGCTTTGGTTCCACTCGATTCGTTTGAGACCACATGTTTCTCAACCATAACTATCCCGTTTCCGGTAGTCTCGTGGTTGAATCAATGCATGATAACGCATAATAACACAGGTTAAATTTAGCGGTGGAAATCGATGATTCGCGAGTTCATGAATACAACAATGCATACAAATCTGTACACACTTGGAAATAAAGGCTTAACCCTTCTGTCACACAAATGTAGAAACTGCACGAGGGAAAGGGTGGGGGGCACTATTTAACACAAAGCGAACAACAAAAACTCTCCTGCGTGTGACCCCGGCTGGTACGCATGCCAGCATGGCTACATGCACACTACACCCGGAAGCGTGTTAGACCGACTGGCGCCAGAAGCGTGAGACCGACACACGCGCAAGACCGCATTTCCTCGGAATGAATCACGACTACGCGGACTATCGTCCACACCTCACTGCTGTTACCTCCACGTAATACACCCCTCATACACAGCAAACAAGAGCGACCGGCGCCGCATAACAAGCATCGCGACTGTGATGCCAGGCACACGAACATGAACATCTGGTGAGTGTGGATACATCGATACATCGATCGAGAGTTTTTTTTTGTTTGAGCTGCCGCATACTCTTACAGCCGGACAGCTGGGTGTGCTTTTGGCATCCGAGCGATGTCTGGCAAGGTTCCCTTGTTGGTACTACCGACAACGAGCACATGGGCAGCGTAACGGCTGCAGGCTGATGGGAAACTTCCCCACACGCCAAAAGCGTGTGTTGTGATCCGTATGTGAGAGGGATTTTCCAGAAAAATATGTACGTCAGCCAGGGAGAGAGCCAGACCCAGCAGGCTCTCGGCGGAGAGTTTTTTCCCCCGCCTCCGCTGACGAGAGATAAGAGGGTGGGGAGATATCCACGCAGTGCTGGCGCCAAAAAAGCCCCAAGGAATCGAGTATTGTCAACAGTGATGCTCTGGTTCACATGTCACTCAAAGAACTGGCGCGTGGCCACTCACGGGATGCTCGCCCACTATGCTTTACGAAACAAGAAAAATGGCGAGAGAGCCGATGACGACACACGACATCATTTTTCGGGCAGGCACACCCAAGCAGAGGATCATGACGCCGCTGAGCACGCCCGGCTCTCCTTCAAAAACCAGGCGCGACGGTAAGCCACAAAATGAAGCACACGTGGTTGCCAGTCGTGGGAACCTGTACATCATGAGAGTCCATCGCCGCTTCTGTGGCATCTGCAGTCGAGCTTACGTGCGAACGCAGCGGTGTTACGTACCAACCGGTGCACGTATGCACTGCTGCGCGAGGAGGCGCGAGAAAAAGGGGGCTGCCGCGAGAGAACCGGCCGCATGAAGAAAATACGCACAAGCTGAGGACGCTGGGCCTACGAGATTTCACTCACACACCGAACACAAGCCCGGCGACAGGGGGACCCCTCTCGCGCCGAAAGCTCTGCCATCCCACTCTTGTGGGTGAGGAGGCGCACTTGCGCGCACATCAATTCGTTAAAGTGACACACATCATCAGGTGCCAGAGCGACACATGAATATCCCTTGCTACTCACCGAGTCGTCAAAGGGTCCGTCTCGAAGTAGACCAGCGCCGCGATACCGAAGCTGGCGTGACCGCACAGCATGCCGATGGTGGTCCTGGAGTTCAGGCCCATGAACTTGAGGGGCTGGCGCTCCTTGGTCATGAACACCTTGAAGTCTGCCTTGGCTTCGCGGACCTGTCTCTCGAACACCGTTTCAGCCTGCTCGGCCTCGCCCTTGGGCACCGCCGAGAGCTGCCTCGAGGATGCTCGCGCCGGCTTCATGATGGCAAGCCTGCTCCCTCCGTAGCTGGACCCGAGGGCCGACCTTGCCACCACCGGCCCGGTTCTCGGGGCACGCATCAGGGTGTTGATGCTTCGCGCACCGACCCCTCCCAATCGAGCTCTCGCAATGCTCAACATCTTGCTATTACGTCCTTCGGGACAGCGATACTGATGCCAAGATTTGGTTGCCTTGCGGACGTTTTCGCACGCTGCCTCTCAGCACAAAGCGAGAGACCCTACACTGGATCGTGTAGTCCAGGCAGAGAGAACAAAGGGACGGAAGAGAGTATGTAGATCTTGCTCACACGCACTACTGCTGTGTAAAAACACCACGCGGACACGTGCTCTGTGGGATGTGCTACCACCTGCGCATGCGACAATCCAGCTCATGGATGACCCCCCACGCTCCTAACCCAATCGTATCCTATCTGCGTGGCCTCGATCCCTCTCTTCTTCTCTCTTCGTGGAGCTAGCAGCAAGACTGAGTAGTGAGAGACCCGACAAACATGGTTTCCCCGGTGAAAGACGTGTACCTCATTGCCTACAACCTCACCTGCGCCAGCGGATGGAGTTACGTTCTCTTCGCGTGTGTGAGCCATATCCTTGCCGGGAACGAGCCGCAGGCGCTTTATGACGAAGTTGAGAAGGTGCTGCAGATCGTGCAGACTGCTGCGCTGATGGAGGTGGGTGGGTTCGTGAGCCACGTGCTGCACATCTCTTCCAAGTATTTGGTGGTGTGCATACCATGCTCGGTAGCGTATGGGGATTGCATTTTTCTTGCGAAAGACCTCCAACAACACATCAAGACTCGTTTGATAAGTACAGCAGTGGGGTGATTGCACACAGAAGCCGATCTTGGCTACAACGCCAATGCTGCTATACGCTGCGGCTGTACACAGCGGTATGTGCATACAACCTGTCTCCTGTGCCTGCCGGGGAGATGCGACGCCAGCGGTTGCGAGCTCTGCAGAGAGGCCACGTAATACAGCAAATGCCAACTGTTGTGTATTAGTCCAGCAAGACGCACCTATGGCGGTATGCGCAGTGTACGGCATAGAGTCTACAGAGGTACGTTGTGGAGATTTCGAGCTCCCCGCACCGTCCGGATATATATTGCACAGCAGTGGTCTAGTGGTATCTTCGTAATCCGCTAGTCGCAGAGGTCGTCAGTTCCCCATGGGGTGAAAAATTTACGAAATATGCGGGTGAATGCCAAACATAGCTAAAAAGCTCTCGTGAGAACCAAACTTCGACGTTAGCACCGTCGACGAGGGAAAGGGACGGCTGGACCCTTCTCGCGATAAAAATAAAATTCAACACGCACCGCAGGAGGAAGGTGGGGCATGAAATGAAATAAAAAGCAGAAAAAATACAACTATTAATAACAGGGTGCGACACACAATACGCCCGACTAGCCAACAAACAGTACCCAACATCATTCGTCTGCACCTTCCCAACATAACATGTATGAGACACACAAGACAGCTACCAAACTGATTTGTTGAGCCTGTTACCCGCAGGGGAGATGTCCCTATAGACTATGCTGTCTGGGAAATCGTAGACATACAGGTATTATTGATAGTGTTGTCTTACGCCATGATTCCGTTGTTAATCTGTCTTGACTCTTTTCAATGATAGAGGTGGACTCGTTGTGTCATACTAAGAAAAAAAAAAGCCCTGGTGTTTACCCCCTCCTGTGTGACCCTGGATGGTTGTTGTTGTTGTTGCTGTCTTCACATTAAACCGTATGTCAGTTGCTAAATGCCAAAATCTAGCAAAAGACTCAGCCCGTGGTCACGAAAGTGCTAGAGCCATCTGAGGATCTAAAGAACATGCACACATGTAACGAGAAAAAGGTATCCAAGAGCCCGAAGACGTACACCTTAAAATCCCTGCAGCACCGTATGCGTGCCCAAAAACTGAACTGCACGTCCGTCCCACCGTTCGACTACAGTAGCATCACCCCCTCCCTGTCCCACTCTATACCAAAACGGAAGATTGCCGACTACAGCATACTGCTGTCTGAAGTGCTGTCAGAATGTGTCTGCGGCCGTACAGTGAAAAAGAACAACCAACCAAAGCCATCATAGCAGCAATTGACAATCACCCGAATCTCTCCCGATCGTCTGTGTAGGCACTGCAGTGAAAAATATCGACACTAGCTAAGAATCGTTCCACATTGAAGGGGTCCACGCCATCTCTGACGGGTCTCTACAAAACCGGTGACGATGTCATTACACAAAACCAACACGGAAAGTCAGAAAAAAAACGAAAAAAATTGACAACACAGATAGAAATGTTTGTCCGTGCGCCACGGGTCGATGTCGCCCGCATGCTCCGGTGCCATTGCTCCATCCGGCGCCGCTGTAGTCAGCCCGAGCAAAACGTCACTCGACCTGCTCCGTCCGTACACGCTCTCGTTGCTGTCCTTCCCAGTCCGTTCCTCGCTTTCTCCCTCATTGCACTCAAGGTTCTTGGTCTGAAAAAAATAAAAATTCTCGCGCCGAATGGTCAACCAGCCTAGTTCAGCTCGTCGCCACCTGCTCCCTCCTCCTTTGATGGCGAAGCCAGGTTACTGAGGCAATACAGCTCCCTCTAGCAAACCTAGGGCCGTGTAGTGCCCGTCCACCTTTCTGATGGTGTCTGCCTCCGCGCACAAAAATGAGATGGGCATCACTGCCAACGCCGACGGCCAGAAAGGCCCGCGCATCTACATTTTCCCGCCTGACCCCATCAGTGCCGACCAACTCCACCACCACACGCACGCCTCGCGGCGGATGCGCAGCAGCAAGAAGGTTTCGATCATCCCTTGAGGGTGAGTCTAGCCCTGCTCGCCAGAAAGCCCCCCCGCTTCGCTACAACCCATGTCTAAGCAAAAGCTTGTCGAGGAGCGAGGGGAAGAAGGGTTGTAGTTGCACGAAAAAATACACTGAAAAGTGTAGTACTCTACATACGCTGAAAAGTGTAGGACACGTCTCACCACGAAAAATGGGGGGACTGTCGCCATAATAAATAGGACGAAAACACACACACACACACACACACACACACAATGCAGTCCGAGCCCCCGTCCGATAACTGTTAAGAATTTATTTATCAAATTCGACTTCCGCACAGGGTGCGATGACTCGCAACCCAGGGTGATTGAGTGTCAACAATTCCGGGGTAGCTTTCACACTCTCTACCCCCGCAACCATTCTGGTGCCGGCATGTTGGCTCCACTGTACTTCGAAGTATATGACATCGTCTAAAATAACAGCAGTTGTTTGAAAGAGAATTGAACACTTGATGCATGTTGATATTTCTTGCGATACTTTCATTGAACCCCTAACCTAGTTACCAAAACACGAGAGAGCAGCGACAAGTCAAGACTACAACCCTCTGACAGGGTACAAATCGACGGGGGATGATTCATGTATTGAGATTCTGATTTCACCGCATTTTTTTTCGCCGCTTGTTTGGTTTGGGTGTTTGGGTGTGTACGTTTCGTGTGGAGCCTGCCACCAAGCAAAACGTACGTATCCGTCGTTCGTCCGCAAATATTTCTTCATGTACCGCACACACCGGAGCTATCGCACAGGGGGTGTGCGGTAAGCATGTACACCAAGAGTCCCGAGTCATCGCACCGTCTGGAGTCATCGATGATCATGAAATGACAAAGAAGTTTGATACACGACCGACAAACGATGATACTACTGGGTAGAGAGATCGGAAAGGTTTCTTTATGTGAAGACAACAACAACGATAGCAACCAACCGCACCGGGTTGCAATAACTGGCAGTCTTTTCGGTAGCCGTGCGAGCGTACAAGGGGAATCCGCGTGCTCGCCGTCGAAAGTTGCACTGCAAGCGCGGGCTCGACAGCGCGAAAAGACCGCGTTCTCAGAGGAAGTCTCAACGCGGGGACACCAGACACACAGTTCCCGACGCAAGTAATACACGAGCAGGGAGTTCCAATGCGGTGCAGATCCGCGAGTGCACGCCACACACAGAGGCCAGACCACACACACACACAGACGCCAGCAGGTGCGATGAAGACAATTTTTTTCGCCCTGCTGGCGGCTTTTCTCCCCCGCACCATCATGGCTACTGCTGCTGCTGCTGCTGCCGTGTCTGCTGCTGCTCTTCGCCCCGAACCCGAAGTAGAAGTTACGGGTGTGTGCACACCCCAAGATCTCCTGCCCCAAGCCTACCGCCTCGGCCGTGACGCGGCCAACAAGGCGAGGTTTGAGTCCAGTCTTCCCAAGGTGAACTGCGTTGTCAAGTGACGGGAATCCCACCGCACGTTCACGCCCCCGGGAGAAGCTCAAGCGCACGAGGTTGCCGGAGATGGGGATTGTGCTTACCACGCCTTGCTGAAAGGTCTCCAGGCGAGTCTTGGAGAGACGAACATGCGAAGTCCACGAATGTCTGATGGTGTGAAGAGTGCCCTCAAACACAGCATCATCTCCCACATCCTAGGACCATCAGCGTCGCAAGCGGTCATGACCACTCTGCTTTCGACGGAGCAGACGCGTCGGGCTCGCGCTCTTCAGTGCACTGAAACTTTCCGGATGCATCCGTATGAGCTGAACACACCTGAACCCGCGGACAAAGGCGTGANATCGGGCTCGCGCTCATCAGTGCACTGAAACTTTCCGGATGCATCCGTATGAGCTGAATACACCTGAACCCGCGGACAAGGCGTGATGACCTACGGTTGACTGGATTCGATAGTGCAAGAGAAGCTACGGACGGAGTGGCTTCACTTGTGCTGGTTTTCACTCATCCCCGAAATGTACGGGGTCAACATTGCGGTTTGGGAGCCTACCGGGAGAGGGCAGTTGGTGCAGCTGTACAAGTAGAACATGTGGGGCCTCTTTCTGTTTGACAAATAAATCAAGCACGACGAAGAGGGACATAAGTGGGTGCACCTGTTATACCGCAGCGGTAGTAGTTGGGAATCGAGAACCGAAGTTGGGGGTGACGAAAATACGGTGTCTCGCCACAACCCCTTCGACTTTTTGGAGCTCGGTGCCGATTTTGAAGCTGAGTTCGACGCTATCATCTCCGTCGCCCGGTCTGGAGGAGAGGGCGACGGCGACACTTGGCTGCCGTCACCTGTGCCGGTGAAAAGGAGGAGGGTGGCGGGGAGTGCGGAGACGACGTTGAAGCGGCACCGCACGAGCACGAAGAAGTCGCAGCTGGAAGATGACGACGGGCCGCTGGCGCAATCGAAGCGCAAGCGGACGGCGAAGAGCGATGGGGGTAGCAAGAAAAAACAAGGGCCAAGCGGAGAAAGCAAGGGGGAGTCAGGGGGAGGTGGCGCGGCCGGCAGCACGGGGGGGAAAACTACGACTCCGATGGGAG